CTATTGGAAATAGAGTAGGATGATGAGGAACAAACACAAAGCTAGAGCCCTTGTGTCCATCCCCCATTCATCCAAGGCTCAACTTCACTCTTTCATTTCCAGCTTTTCCACCTCCTCCCCCACAGCAGCACAAGGGAAAGCAGAATGGTGGTTGTAGTCTGTTCATAATGAGTTTTCTCTCCCACTCCTTCCTCCTCTCACTGACCCAGCAAAAAACCCACTTTCCCGGGTGTTTTCCTGAGCCAGACTCCACTCAAAAGAGTCAATCTCATCTACAAGTAAAAGCAGAGCAGGAGAGCAGTCACACAGAGCCGGGCAATTGTTTTCTGGCAGGAAGTGGGGAGAGAGGACCCTCAGGGCTGGTGTGGGCAGAGGGCTCTGCACCCACCTGTGCTCCCCACAGCCATTCCTGCATCACTGTTTGTGTGTCAGTGACCACCCGTGGAGAGTGACAGGGATCAACATGTTCACCCATCAGTTATCAACCACTGCCAGACAGTGATACAGCTCATCATGTTACACTAGGAGAGGGCCACAGCAGCAAGACCCTCAAACCAAAATTGAAATAAACCTGTTGTTTAGTTCAGTCTTTTCAATCAACAGATGCCAAAGCATTTCTGACAAGTTTGCACTACTGTTATTGCTCTTTTGCAGCCAGTCAGTGTATACAAGATCTACGTGTCTTTGCTATTGACAGTAATTTAGCCCTGTAAACTATCTAAATTAAATGAGAATAATAACATACTTAAATCACAGTAATATTAGTTCAAAGACTTTGAATGATATATTCTGAACATCTGTAACATCTACACTGGGTACAGAGTTGCACTGGAAATTAATGGATTGGTTTGAAATATCAAATCCATATTTTGCAAAGGGTCCAGCTTTTGTACTATGTCTACTTCATGCAAAACTTGCATTTGAAACAGGATAGAATCTTTAGCAGTGTTTTTTCCAGATTGGGATTGCTGAAAATCACAATAAGGGAATGAAAACCTGGAAAAGCGTGCTGAAATATGTAAAAAAGGAACACCATGAGAGTTTGGCTCTTCATTGCATAAATCAGTGTCAAGATCAAACATATAAAGTTGATGCTGAACATTATGAAAAAGGAGTAAATGGATTTCATGACTTTGATGTGGGCATCCATGCTGAGGTCCTTCTGCATGTTGCGTTTGTGTCTCCAGAGGGAAAAGAGAAGGAGAAGGGCAGAAAAGATGACTGCTGTGAAGGAAGTGGCATATCCAAAACCAATGATAAAATAATGGCGGAAAAAATGTTCTTCTGTGCTGATACTTGCTTTCCAGATCCTTCCTTGGCAGGTGAAATTGAGGTTCTTACAGAAAATTTTATCAATGGCATCGTAGAGAATGGTTCCGACAACCAGGGAGAAAAGCACAGACCCCAACAAGAGGCAGGGCACAATCCTGTCAATTTTGACTTTCAGGTAGATGAAGAAGCTGTTTCTGAAATTGGCAATTTTTATGCAATAAAAGACACAAAGACAGGCTGAAACCCAAAAGTTGGAATAATTTAGAAAGCTCGGAGCACTCTCAGCTAGTTCAAATATGGGATGAACATGAAGATAATTGGCGTAAATTAGTGAGAGAAAGAAATATACCCATGCAATGCACAAAAACCAAAACCGGGAGCAACCCAAAGCCATCAAGATCTTCTCATTAGAGTTCAAGGTTTTCTTTCTGACCCAGGCCACACAAATCACAGAAACAATGAAAGCATTTATCCACATGCCAGCAAACGCCTCAAGGGTGACAACAGCCACAGATGTGGCAGCATATGAAGTGACAGTGGATTGCTCTGGAGAGTGAGAAGCTTCCATCCTGGGAGCTGGGAGCAGTGCTGTGCTGGACAAGGGGGCTGTTGCACCAATGCCAAACACAGGTCAGTGTCTGCTGTTGCCTGAGTGTCAGGTGTGGAAAGAGGAGCTTTATAGAGCTGCTGGTG